CTGCTGACAGTCTCCAGCTACAGCTATAACCTGTTACTGTCAGGGTTCAGTGAGGCTAAAAAGCCACACTAATAGGCATAAAAGTTCTACAAAAATCTTCTAATTCCTTACTGAAAATTAATCCTTCAAAAGCACAGGGCCCTCAGTATCCTTATGGCAAAAAAACACCTGCTTACAAGTAAAACTGGTTATGTTTAAATAAATAAGTCACATCAGATAAAAAGATCTTAAAAATCAAACTTAGACATAACCTCGTAACCAAAAACAGAGGCTATGTCTATTCTTAAAAATGATAAAATAAGATAAATGTTGCTTTCATGCTGAGAAGTCTGGGACAGTGAGATATGCAGCACAGAAACTAGCTGGCTGTGTTTCTAGGACCTGCCAGAAATTTTCCGAGTCACAGAGACCTGGTCAGGATCTGGCATCGGACCTTCTGGTTACTCCCCCAGCAAGGCCATCATGAACGCTTAGTGTAGCCTTGACATTTGGGCCGTGTTTTTTCAACCTCTTGGTCAAATTCATTTCTTCCCATTTAACAGCTTTGATGGTGATGTGGCCAGACATTTGACAAGCACTCTTCTTCACTTCTATTCAGGACCACTAGATAGGCCTCTCCGTGGCAGGCCCTGACTTCTGCCACCCAACAACACTCCCTTTCAGCAGGAAGCAGCTCAAGAGATCTTTCATCATCCTGGTCCCGACAGCAGTCAAGGGTCTCTACTGTAGAGGGGGGGAAGTTGAGGCCAGGAGATAGAAGGAAATTGGGCAGACAGGGCAGAGAATAGTTCATCTAAGTTAACTGAAGGCCAGGGTTGGGTGGGTTAAAATGCAAAGGGCCTGATTAGCTCACTGGGTAAGCCAAAAAGTCCCTTGGACAGTTAAAGTAAACAAGAGCACCTGCTTTCTGGACCCTAAGGTGCAGGAAAGCAAGGCAGCCTCCCTCCTTCTGTACCAAAGATGGTATAAAAGACTCTGATACATAGGCTTCAATGTCTATGATTTTTCTGCCTTTCAGAACCCCCCTGACAACAGGGGGACCTTTCCCTTCTATTCTTCCCTATAAACACACATCGGTCATTCCCCGTTAGTTGCTTGCTGTTTTGTCACTTCCTCCTGCGTCACCTCAAAACAAGGACCCAAAGGAGAGCTCTTTACAATATCTTTGGGACTAGCCAGGCATGGTGGCGCACACCTGTAATCCCAGCACTCGGGAGGCGGAGGCAGGAGGATCATTGTGAGTTCGACACCAGCCTGGGCTACAAAGTGAGCTCAAGGCCAGCCTGAACTGCATGGCGAGACCCTGTCTTAAAAAGACAAAAAAAAAAAAAAATCTTTGGGACTATCTTGGTATAAACATACATTACAGGACAGAGATTCTGCTAAGAGTTTTGCATTTTTTTCTCTCTCTTTTTTTAAATTCTCAGTGACCTGAGACTCAGAGGGTGAATGTGAAATTCAAAGAAGGAAAGTATCCAGGGGTCCCACTGCAAGGAAATAATGAAACATGGGTTTGAAACTTGGCCTCCTTAACTCCAAAACTCTAAGACGGTATCTTTCCCTTTTGATTAATTTCCTCTTCCATTTCTGTTACTCGAGTTTCTGCTACTTCCATTCCTTTCGTTTTTGTTATGGCAAAAGTAGCAGGTGAGAACTTAGCAGAAATGCACATTCTTGGGATGCACCCCAGACACATTCAATCCTGTTCTGATGTACCGTGTCCCTCCTGATGAGTCTGACGCTCTCTAGATTTGGGGATCAGCGCTCCAGAGGGGACTCTCACCTTTCAAGGTAATACTTAAACTTACCCTGACAGCAAACATCTCAATCAGCAGTTGCAGCCTCCTGAGCGTCAGATGTTTATTCATGCTGCTCAGATACATTCACATGCAGATATCATACAAGATTTTAGTTTGAATTGTCACAAAATCTTTTCTACATAAACACTCAGCACTTACTTCCTTACATTCATGTTTATTAAAGTATAATTTGCATACAGTAAAAAGGCACAGATCCCAAGTGTAGAGATTGAGTTTTGATTATTGTCATATAACTACCACCCCAGACTACAGAATGTGTCCTTCTGTTTTCTAAGAAATTTCCCTTGTGCCCACTCCTAGGCTCTCTCCACCTACCAGTTCTGTACTTACCAAATACTGGTCTGTTTTCTATTAATGCAGTTTAGATTTGTACTTTTCTAGCATGTCACATAAATGGAAATTTATGGTATGTTGTCTTTTATGTCAATCTTCTTTTCCTGAGCTTAATGTCTATGAGATTCATCCATATTATTTTGGGTATTAGAAAAATGTTCCTTTTTATTCTTGGGTAGAATTCCATGTATGAATATATACAATTCATTTATCTATTAACTTGTGGATTGAAATCTAAGTTGCTTCCAGCTTGAAGCTATTGTATCAGAAACTGACTAGCTTCAGATGCATCTTCATACTGGAATGAGACACAGGTAGGGTTAGAATTCTCACTCAGAACTATTTTCCTGGACCACCATAAGGTAATGTTCTCATGCTGCATTACACCAGGTGTTGAAAACCCTAACTGATCTGGTCATTTCCTTGTTCTTTTATACATAGTTTGTGTGTTATTGTTCTCTTTGGAGGATTTTAAGTTTTATACTATATTCATTAAATTTTTACCACAGTATATTCTGCATTATGGACCTTCTGAGAAGTTTTCACAAATTCCCTCTTCAGCAGGGTTTAATCAGTTGTTTACCCATTACCTGTTTAATTTTAACAACTATATTTTTAATTTCTGGTAATACTCTGGTTATTTTAATCTGTTTGAAGGCTTTATTTTACTCCTCTGGTTAATTTTAAATGCTTTTAAATTATTTTAACCATTTTTAAAATACTTAATTTGCTTTTGATCGCTTTATTAGCTAAGACACTTGGAAATCTAATTTAACTATACGCTTCTGCTGGTGGTTGCTCTGCTGGATTCGTTTCAGACATATTTTATAATTTTGAGTTATAGTCTACGTTGGACATGGCTCTATAACAGACAATTCTGTTATAAGGGTTGGACTACTTTCAAGGTGTATCCTTCCAGATAATTTTTATATTTACTTTTTCTAGGCTAAGTAAAGATGTTAAAAGCTCATCACTCAATTTTTTTTTTTTTTTTTTTTTTTTTTCTTTTTTTTGAGACAAGGTCTCGCTATGCAGTTCAGGCTGGACTTGAGCTCACTTTGTAGCCCAAGCTGGTCTCAAATTTGCAACAATCCTCCTGCCTCAGCCTCCTGAGTGCTGGGATTACAGGTGGGCACCACCACACTTGGCTCATCACTCTATTTTAGAAGGAATCCTTGATTAGCCTAGAAGTATAGATTCAGTTTGCAAATTGGAGTCAAAGCAGGACAGAATATTTGTTTTTAACTCATGCAGATTCCAAGCTAAGTACATAAACTTTTTTTGCAGTCTCAGCATATTTTGACTAGTTTACCTTCTCACAAAAGAGTAGCTCTTCAAGAGTTTCACCTTATGCAGCCATACATATTTTCACTTCCTGCCTTAAACCAGGACAAATGCCTCCATGTCCATTAAAACCCAAGCCCCTCACTTTCTTCAGTTAGTAACCCCACTCTTGCCCCCAGGCTCCTCCGCCTATCAGGCCAGCTTTTCTTTACACTCTAGCAGAGGACGCTCCTTAGGCACTTGGCTGGGATAGGAAGGACGACATGGAGGCCCTTATGGTTGAGTTTGGAGGGGAAGACCCGCTTCTCCAAACCTGAAGGCTGAGTGCTCAGCCTGTAGCAGCTTCTCCCCAGACCTCAAGGGGCGACTCCCCTTTCTGTCCATCTCTGCTGCCTTCATTCATTTCCCTTGTGCAGTACTTCTCCCTTATTCCCCCTTCCCTTTATCCCACGTTGACCTCTGGACCACAGCTGGGCCATTTCTCACTCGGTGCTGAAAGATAAATGTGCTATTTTATACCCTGCCCACCACACAGTCAGAGCCAGTGAATTAGATTTTATGATACAACAATACATACATTAGAGTTTCAAAGCGTCCTCATCAAAATTGGTCTCACTTTAGGGATTCACGGTACACCCAGCACAGGCCACACCTCCATTCCACTCTTCACAGTGTGAGGGCCCCTGCTGAGACCCCGCATCTCAGAGTAGGATGTCAAGCTATAAACCAAATCATCTTCTTACCCCTGGGATAGCCAACTTGGAGACAACCCTGAACTTTTTATTTGTCCAAATGCCAGCTATTGTCCCACCTGGGCCCAGGCAACCCTCGGCTTGCTTCTGGGGTCTTGAAGAAGAGTTTGACTGCCCTTCTGTTCTCCCTCTGCCCTCCTGCTAGGCTCAGCTTGCTCTCACTAGACTCAGGTTCCCAGCACATGCTGTTCTCATGGGATCCTGTTGCTTGGGAGCCCAGGGACACCCTTCGGAGAAGCAGGAAGAGTCAGGCTCCCAAGTCAGGTCCCGGGCCTCTTTACAAGCTGACTCAGCACATTCTGGAGAAAAAAGTTCTGTAGCCAAACAGACCTGGGTCCGAATCCTGACTCAGTCACTCGCTCAGTCACAGAGCTCTTGTAAGCTAAAACTAGGTGAAGTACGAACACACCCTGGCAAAGCAGAGCAGTGCTGCACGGGTGTGTGTTTACATCTTCTCAGCTTCTCCAGCTGGGTGAGACGTGCTGCTTACACGTGTGGCAGACCCCAGGTTTATGGCCCAAGCGCCACCTACCCACAGCGCATGTGGGTGGACCCTGGGTGTTAGCTTTCCTAAGGAATAGGATGATGGAGCGTTCTGCATGGGATCTCAGCCAGACAACAGTGAGCTGCTTCAGAGCTCTTGTATGGCCAAGGTCACTGGGACACACGCCTGGCCACACCAGGACTTTGTGCCTGGCTGGCCCTTCTACTGCTGCACTTTGTAAAGCAAAGGAAAGTTCCTTTGGATTGTGCTCATGGCCTTTGTCTCTTACCCTATCTTATCTTGTCTTCAGATGCATAAACCTGCTCACCAAGCTATAAAAGTGGCCCATTTCCATGCGTCAGCTGCCTTTTTAGCATTCACCATACACCCACAGCAAACCAGAGGCTGTCGCCATGACCAGAGACCAGCATGGAACCTGGGAGATGGAGAGTAATGACAACTTTGAAGGCTACATGAAGGCTCTGGGTAAGGGGGAGGGGACGGGATGGGGAAGGAAGGGGATGGGGGTGATACTGTCTGGTCCTCTAGACGGTGCCACTGTGGAGTTCAGCGGACATGTATGCAAATCCTCACTCCTCGTGCACAGCAGTGCACACACTTCTGGGGCTCAGTTTCCTTATCTGCAAATCGGAAATAATAATAAAAGAGATATGTTCAGAATGTCTTTAACACAGTAGCCATCTCAGACAAAACACATGCTGAATGGAGCACTCACACACACACACACACACACACACACACACTCACACACACACACGCGCACACACACACACACACACGCGCGCACACACACACACACAGCAAACACACACACAGGATAAAAGCTACCTTGAGGGAATAAGACACCCTCCCCTGCCTTACAACTGCTCCCTCTTTAATGATCATTTGGCTCTAATGTCACCCACCAATGCTCCCTGCTTTCTCTTTTTTAGGCTTGTAATGGCAAGATAGGAAAGGGGCAGGTAGCAAGTCTCCCAGCCTAGAGAACATCGGGGTCACGGAGGGTTAGGAGAGGGTTTTGTCATATGGTGCAACCACTCACACTCCCTCTAACTTCCAAGCTGGGCTCTAGGCCAAGGGTTACCAACCAGTTATGTCTTCAGTTGAGAACAGGTGGGTCTCTTCTGAGGATGGCAGAAACATGTAGCCCTCTTAGGCCTGTGAGGTCTACAGGAAAGTAAAGGGGTGAGTCTGCAGAGGGGAGCTCAGGGCAGCTCTGTTGCTTGTCCTTTCTTCTCTGTAGCACCCCCTTACCACATTTCCCGGCTTTAAATATCTCTACGTATGGAATTATCCCACTGGAACATCCCACGCAAACAACATGAGAAAAATGGCTACAGAGTCAGAAGCCCAATAATTTGGATATGAGGATGGCAGGTCTCTCCAAGAATGAAAATTATGGGTTTTTCTGTGCAATTCACTTCTAGCTTGAGGACTATTTCTCCCATGACAATAAAAAGAGACCTGTGATCTGTACCATAATTTACAGAACGTAAAGCTCTGTTCATATTCACATGTTGGTAACTTTCTTTTTCCTGGTGACCATCAGAATTTTACCTCTGTATACTTGGAGGAGGAAAAAGGAGGACAAAATTCTTCTACCAGGGCTCCACCCTGTGCTCTGTCACACTTTTGAGCATCATGGTGGCCAATAGAAGTGAAATTGTGAACCTGTCCATGGGCAACAGATTGGTGCTCTTTTCAAAACTATAATTTGGAACAATAACGTACAAATGAGGAAGCCAAAGCAGAGGGTTCACCATAGCTGGGGCTATGGCAGTCTTACTACTCTGTAAACTTGAACAATTTCTTTAAACTTTCAGAACCTCCACTTCCTCATCTACCAAACAGGGATAACGGCACCACTGTCTGTAGATAGCGCTGGCTACGGTTGTGGTTTTGAATAATTGAAAGCAAGTGCTATTTGGAAGTTTCAAGGTTTCAGCAGTCTGCTGAGCAAGCTGGACTCACTGAATACATCGGAAAGCAACTTTGAGCCTTTCACTGCTTTTGTTTAAATAATGAAAAGGCCTGTGATGGCTTGAGTGTAAAATCCAGTCTAAGTTTAGTCTATGGCACACATAGAACACACACAATATACACACACAGGATAAAAATTACCTTGAGGGATTAAGGCAGCTCTTTCCCGATTTACAACCACTGCCTCTTTGACGACCATCTGGTTCTAAATCACCCACAAGTGACCCCTGCTTTCTTTCTCTTTGTCAGACTTGGCATAGTCTAGGCTCCCAAAGCCCTTAGCATCCATCTATTCAGGCTCTGGGTGGGAGGCAGGCATTCCCACCACCCTCTCTCTTTGGGAGGGATGCATTGATCCAGAGCGCATCATACTTTCTCCAAGAAATACTCTCTCTAGAAGCAGCCTTCCTCTGTACTCTTTCACACCAGTTTACATCCTCAGTGTGAGTGAGGGGCTGAAAGTCACAGAGGTGGTGTTCGTGAGTCTCCCTTCTATAAGGTTCTAGATCGGCCTTTCTAATTCTCACTACCAGAAACACGTCTCATAGCATTGGTCAAAACTTCCGTTTAACATCATACTGCACTGACCTCACTCTAATAAGCCAAATATTTGCTCTCTTTGTATCAGGGTCTCTGCATGCAGAGGGGTGGGTGACACTTTGCTGGCTGAGATGAATCCCATAGGTGACACTGCAGTAGGCTAAACAGAGGGTGGGTGTGGTTCGTACCTGACTTCCCCGGCTGTTGATAGCCCAGTGTCTCAGGGTCTTAGGAGTTTGTCCCATCTTGAGCCCAAGGAGCTCTGCACAGAAATCCACAGACACCTTCCCATGCTTGAGATAGGGTGCCTAATTTGTCCCACCCGACCATGGGGACATCAGCCAGGCAGGAAATGGCAGTGGATGAAGACAGGTTTCAGGGAGGTGAGGCAGAGCAGCTAAGATGTGGCTTCTCCTCAATCTAATCTGCTGAAGCAGCCCAGCAGATCTGTGCGGTTTCCTCCACACCCAGGCTGCAAGGCAGGTTACTTCCCAAACACTGAAACTTCAATGAAGCTTGCCTTTCTTGCCCTTTTGAACGCTATGACTCTTGGCATTTAGGAAGAGAATGTGTGGAGACCTGCAAATCCCCAGATGTGTAAACATCACCAAGTATAAAACCATTCCCTAAAAGCCGTCACTTCTTAGACTTTAACCCTGCGTACTGGGGAGGTGGCTTTTCCTGAGAACCCGGTTTTAGGTTCCCTAGGGCCAAAGAAACCGTGTTGAGATGCGGGTCTGGGAAGCACAGCAGTTTGTCACTATTCCGGTCACTTACTCCACACATTGGCCTCTCTATGGGACTCGGTCTCAGCAGAGTGACACATGACGGCGACCTTTGGGTTTGCCTCAAATTATCAAAGTCATTAAGAGTTCAAAGAGTGAGTGCCAAAGGTTGAACTTCTCCTGCCTTTTCAGGCTTCGGTAGTTTCTTAATGCTCTAGAGCAGTGATAGCAAACTTTTTACAGACCAAGTGCCCCAACCGCAAGTCAAAACCCACTTATTTATCACAAAGTGCCAACACTGCAATTAATCCTGAATACTGAGGTTTTAGATTAGAAAAAATACTCATACACCTGGCTTGAGTGCTAGCAGAGAGACTGTGTGTACCCACTGCAGCACACGTGCCATAGGCTCACCACCCCTGCTCGAGACTCTTTTCTGACATTGAGGAAGGCAGCTAGTGAACTCTTGCACCCTGAACAACTTGGCATATCCTGAGGTCCTCCTTCGGTCAGGTCAGAGAGGGTTGGGGAGGGCGGTCTTCATTTTGAAGGGCAGGCCAGGTAGGGCAGGTATAAGGAAGAGGTTCCAGTAATGTGAAGGAGAAGTACGCAGGTTGGGGGGCGGGTGGGGAAGGAGCCCGATAACCCTACCTAGCATGGAGACTCACCCAGCTCCTGCGCCAGAGTGTCAGCAGCTACTTGTAGAAGCAGGGACTGTGCCATCTGAAACAGAACCAGACTTGCTTCCTGTTAATAAGATTAAACTTGTATCAATGATCAAACTGGTCAGGTTACAGTTACGCAGAAATAGTGTTCCTGTCTTGTGTTATTGTATGCAAAGTTTTCACAAAACGTAGTGCCATCTTTTATCATCTCTCAGAGCTCTGAGTTCGGGCAGGTTCACCCCGGTGGTTCCCAGTGAAGGGTTCCCATTCAGTGCAACTGGACAGTGGCCAGGGCTGCTTGCTTGCCTATATGTATGTGTGGCTGTGGCTGAGACTTCAGCTGCACTTGTCAATATCTGTGTGGCCATGTGGTCAATAGCTACATGTGGTCTCCCTATTTGGCCTAGTTGTCCTCACAGCATGCTGGCTGGGTCAAAGAGAGAGAAGGCAGAAGCTGCATAGCCTTTTATGACCCAGCTTGGAAACCAGAAGGAATCACTCCCACCAGCATTTTACTAGTCCAAGGGGTGCAAGCCCCACCTTCAGGAACAGAAACCTCGCTTCCTCAGCAGGAAGAATATCAAAGTCACATTGGACAAACTGTGTAGAATGAAATGCAGTCATTTAAGAAAATATAATCTGTTACAGATGGGCAGTGAGTGATTCTGTAACTTGAGCCCCAAGGGGCTAGATGCCCTGTTGGCAAACCTTTTAGAGCTTTCAATGATACAAACAGCTCACTGAGGCAGGCGTGCCATAGGTTCACTGCCACTGGGCTAGAGTAACACAGAATAGTAACAAGAAGTAGCAGAGGATGTTACAGGGAGATGCAGCATATGTGTCAGTGAAGGCTTCCTGAGTATTTCTGGGTGGGCTTTTGAAGGAAGGAGAAGAGTGCCCCATGCAGAGACGGAAACAGGCAAGGGCCCCTGGGCATGGGACTGGGAGACCAGATGGACTTGTTCTGCCAGAGCTGAAGTACAAGGAATGCATGCAGCAAGAGTCTGAGAGGCAGGCGGTGTAATACATGTGGACTTCAGCCTCAAGGATGGGCTCTAGAGAGGAAGTGCTGTGGTAAGAGGACAGAGGCCATTGCACTCAGAGAAGTGCCTACTGCAAACAGTTCTGGTGAATCTCCGGAAAGCTCCAGTAGGAAAGAGGCTGACTTAGAGACAGAACTCAAACAGCTGTCTCCTGAATGGTTTCTACCAGGAAGTATTTCCTGAACACCTACAGTGTACAAAGCCCCCTCCTGATTGGTTTTGGGTTTTGGTGTTTGTTTTCTTTGTCTGCTTGTTTGTTTTGGTGATGCTGGGAATTGAACCAAGGGCCTCAAACCTGCTAGGCAAGTGCTAGACAAGCTACACAACCCTGAGTCCCCCAAATGTTTAGGAGCTTGCAGTTCAGCACCAGCAGTGAGTGTGGGCACACATTCTTTTCATGTGAGAATAAGCATTGTGCTACAGCTTTATAGTCATTAATTCATTTTAATTGATTCCATTTCCAACAAATGTATTGGGCACCTATGAAGCATCAGGGACACAGCAGTGAATGA